TTCAACGCAACGCTTCCCAACCAGGTGAGCGCGGTTGGCTAGGTAACGGTGTGACAGAAGTTCAACATCCATCCATACTGTGCATACCAACCTGAAACTATTCTGTTTATTTCAGCAGGTAAGGCCCGACTGGGCCTATGTGGCTACTTTTGAGAAGTGAGCGCTGCCTATCACAGACGGAAGCCCAACGAAGAGGAGGCTTGGCAACAGCAAAAGATTATAATCGCGTGATGCCGATTCCAAATGTGGAGGGAAAAACCGGAGGACCCGGAGAAAATTCCACGCGACCACGGGGAGAGAGAGAGACACGCAAACTCCAAATATACAGCAGCAGGCATCGTCAGGGTCGAGATCGAACCCACGACCATCTGTACACCAGACAAGGTAGTTAACATCTCCAGAGAGAGAGAGAGAGACACGCAAACACCAAATATACAGCAGGCATCGTCAGGGTCGAGATCGAACCCACGACCACCTGTACATCAGACAAGGTAGTTAACATCTCCACAGAGAGAGAGAGAGAGACGCAAACACCAAATATACAGCAGGCATCGTCAGGGTCGAGATCGAACCCACGACCTCCTGTACACCAGGCGAGGTAGTTAACATCTCCACGGAGAGAGAGAGAGAGACGCAAACACCAAATATACAGCAGGCATCGTCAGGGTCTGGAGCGAACCCACGACCTCCTGCACATCTGGCGAGGTAGTTAACATCTCCATGGAAAGAGAGAGAGACACGCAAACACCAAATATACAGCAGGCATCATCAGGGTCGGGATCGAACCCACGACCACCTGTAGACCAGGCGAGGTAGTTAACATCTCCGTGCCACCGCTGTGCCCTCCAGGGAGCAGCTGATGCTGCTGCTACGCGTTCTAACCCTGGCCAGTGGGGTGGAATGGGGTTTTGGGGGGGGGGGGTGAACTGCCCCCCCCCCCCCCCCCCGCTGTCGTCAAGAAGCCAGCGACCTGCTCTGCCAAGCGCGGCGATGCGGTTCGCTGGCCACGCGTGGTGCCCGGCACCGGCTGTCGCCACTTTAGGCCAAGTAGCCCTCGTGCCTCGCGTGACACGCCGTGCGATCACGCGTGGCAAGCATGGCACTGCCTTCCACCCTGGGTGGGTGCGTGGGTGGGTTGGGTGGGTGCGTGGGTGGGTGGGTGGGGGTCGTGGGTGGGTGCGTGGGTGGGTTGGGTTGGTGGGTTGGGTGCGTTGGGTGAGTGGGTGGGTGAGTGGGTGGGTGAGTGGGTGGGTGAGTGGGTGGGTGGGTGAGTGGGTGGGTGGGTGAGTGGGTGGGTGGGTAGGTGGGTGGGTGCGTGGGTGGGTAGGTGCGTGGGTGGGTGGGTGAGTGGGTGGGTGGGTGGGTGCGTGGGTGGGTGGGTGGGTGCGTGGGTGCGTGGGTGGGTGCGTGGGTGCGTGGGTGGGTGGGTGGGTGAGTGAGTGAGTGGGTGAGTGGGTGGGTGGGTGGGTTGGGTGAGTGGGTGGGTGGCTAAAACGCAGCAAGTTGGCACGGTAGAGGGAGGGCACAGGCGGTGCATCTGCCATTCATCTCAGTCGGTCGACCCATGGCACCTGCTGGGTCTGCCTCGTGACCTCCTCCTGCCGGCGGGCGTTCCACACTTCACGGTGGCCTTAACGTGCACCTAGCCTGGCACAAGCGCCGTGGTGACGTCACCGCTACTTAGTGGCGAATGGCGGTGGTGGTCGCGGTGTATGTATATATATGTGGTGAGGAGCGGTGGTGTAGCGGTGAGCGCACTGCGCTACGAACCCGGCGAACCAGGTTCGATTCCCGCTCACGGCCAACACCGGTGACGATTATCTGAACCGGTTCCGGGCCTCCCCTAGGTCGGCTCAGCCTCAAATGAGTACCTGGTGCTGTGTGTAAACATCGCCACTGGGGAGACACATCCGGTGAGCGTGGTGCTGGCCACCCACCCACGCTCGTTTAACCGTAGAGGCCCTTCATAGGTAGCTGCTCGCGAACAGCACTTGCCCCGACAGTCTGCCGAGGCTACGCGGGGGATCTTTGTCTTTGTGAATGTATCTTCTTGATTCTTTCGGTAAAGTCACGTAGAAGGGAAATAATTTTAAAAAAACATAATAAAATACAATTCTCACGACGTTTCCTTAAAATTCCTTCCCTTTTATTACTGCTAACCCTACATAATACACGAGCATAATATGACTTTGAGACCCCCCCCCCCCCACCTATCTGGCTGTCGCCTGATGAAGCTAGTTGCAATTACTGGCAAAACTCGGATTGTAAATGTTGTGGCCTGGCTCTTCCAACACACCGGCGTGCTGTACTAGTACACTACACTATACACTACTATACACTAGTATACAATACACTATACACTACACTATACACTACTACACTATACACTACACTATACACTACACACAACTATACTATACACTACACTACTATACACTACACTACTATACACTACTATACACTACTATACAATACATTATACACTACACTATACACGACTATACACTCCTATGCTATACACTACTATGCTATACACTACTATGCTATACACTACTATGCTATACACTACACTACTATACACTATACACTACACACTACACTATACACTACACTACTATACACTACTATACACTACACTATACACGACTATACACTACTATACTATACACTACACTACTATACACTACACTATACACTACACTACACACTACACTATACTACTATACACTACTATACACTATACTACACTATACACTACACTATACACTACACTACTATACACTACACTACTATACATTACACTACTATACACTACACTACACACTACACTATACACGACTATACACTACTACACTATACACTATACTACTATACACTACTATACACTATACTACACTATACACTACACTATACACTACACTATACACTACACTACACACTAGTGCTGTACTAGTGACGAATTGTCCACGTTCTGTTCACGTGACAGCCCTCGCTAGTTGGCCGTGTCGGGGTGGTGGCGGGTTTTAACGACACATTTATACATTGACGCGATCGAACCCGAAAGACCTCCACGATGCAACGTGCATCCTTGCACACAGAAACAACAACAACAACACACCACCCAACCACACGTTTCGAGTTGCGACGGACCGGCATGAAATGCAATCCATTCTGCCTCTGCCCCAGTGCACGAGACGGGAAACGTGCCATGAATGTTTGTTGAGAGGTCTTCTCCCCCCTCCGCTCTTGACATACAAAGCGAAGGCAAAGGTGCCCCGTATAGCCTTAGCGGGGGTCAAACGCTGCTGTGTGTGCGCCTACCGTCTTACAGGCAACGGTAAGGATGCCTCGGTCTACCACCCCCCCCCCCCCCCCATATAGAGGTGGCAAGTGCTGTTAGCGAGCACCTGTTAAGGCTGGTGTGGCCACACGCGCGCACACACGTGTATAGAGGCACACACACACGTGTAGAGAGAGAGAGATACACACACGTGTATAGAGACACACACACACGTGTATAGAGACACACGTGTATAGAGACACACACACACGTGTATAGAGACACACACCACGTGTATAGAGACACACACACGTGTATAGAGACACACACACACGTGTATAGAGACACACACACACGTGTATAGAGAGAGAGACACACACACACGTGTATAGAGACACACACACACGTGTATAGAGACACACACACACACGTGTATAGAGAGAGATACACACACACACACGTGTATAGAGACACACACACACACGTGTATAGAGACACCACACACACACGTGGATATAGACACACACACACGTGTATATAGACACACACACACGTGTATAGAGACACACACACGTGGATAGAGACACACACACACGTGTATAGAGACACACACACACGTGTATAGAGAGAGAGACACACACACACGTGTATAGAGACACACACACGTGTATAGAGACACACACACACGTGTATGAGACACACACACGTGTGTATGAGACACACACACGTGTATATGAGACACACACACACGTGTATAGAGACACACACACACGTGTATAGACACACACACACACAGTGTATAGAGACACACACGTGTATAGATACACACACACACGTGTATAGAGACACACACACGTGTAGAGACACACACACACCCCGCGTGGTGTAGAGAGACACACACACACCGCGTGGTGTAGAGAGACACACACACCCCGCGTGGTGTAGAGACACACACACGTGTATAGACACACACACACGTGTATAGACATACACACACACGTGTATAGACATACACACACACGTGTATAGACACACACACACGTGTATAGAGACACCACACGTGTAGAGCACACACACGTGTGTAGAGACACACACACGTGTGTATAGACACACACACGTGTATAGACACACACACACGTGTGTATAGACACACACACGTGTGTATAGACACACACACACGTGTATAGAGACACACACACACGTGTATAGAGAGACACACACACACGTGTATAGAGAGACACCACACGTGTATAGATGACACTCACACGTGTGTAGACACACACATACACGTGTGTAGACACACACACGTGTATAGACACACACACACGTGTATAGAGACACACACACACGTGTATAGAGACACACACACACACGTGTATAGAGACACACACACGTGTATAAAGAGAGACACACACACACGTGTATAGAGACACACACACACGTGTATAGAGACACACACACGTGTATAGAGACACACACACACGTGTATAGAGACACACACATACACGTGTATAGGCACACACACACACGTGTATAGACACACACACACACGTGTGTAGAGACACACACACGTGTATAGAGATAAACACACACGCACACGTGTATAAAGATAGACACACACGCACACGTGTATAGAGACACACACACACGTGTATAATGACACACACACACACAGACGCACGCGTGAATGATCTTGAGACAACCCTTATCCGAGCCTTACCTTGGTGGTGACGATGCAAAGGCAGTCCATCGCGTTCGTCCTACCTCGGCTGGCTTGGCTTCTTGTTGTTGTTGTTGATGTTGTTGTTGTTGATATTTCCCGCAGGGGCAAAGCTTCTGACGTTTGCACAACAAAAAAACCGGCTCGGGCAATGGGGGGGGGGTAGGGGATCAAAGTTTCATGGTCGTGGCGAGGGTGGCTTTAGCAGGCCGCGTTGTGGTGGTGGTGCTGGTGGTGGTGGGTTTCCTTCGCCAACGAGGAATAGGATGGAGAAGCGAATGGGGGGAAATAAATATTTATTATAATAATAATAAAATATAAATTTTACGTGAGATATTTCGACGAGCCCTAACGGTGATGGGAATGTGGGGCGGGTGATGATAAATCAATCAATAAATAAATAAAGCTGCTGCCGAATTAATGAATTACTAAAAAAATGTTTAAGGTGTGAAATTGTCTTATGTGTTCGCGACGACACAAAAAAGCGTTTGGAAATGTATTCGATGATTATTATTTTTTTAAATATAAGAAACCGATAACATTGCGGGCGTGAACGTCGTATCTAACGATTTCAAACCGCTAACAATATAATAATCATACAAAAGAAGCGTCGTGGATTTCGCAAAAAGGGGTGCCGCAATAAATAAAAATGTGATGATGATGATGATAATAATGATTGGTGGTGATGATGATGATGAGGATGGCGACTAAAGCCAAGAGCAGTAGCAGCAGCAGCAGCAGCCTGGCATGTCAGCTCAGCATCGTTGCTTCCCACACGATCCAGGAGGGCAAATTCTCTCTCTCTCCCAATCGCGACACGGGCGTTTCGTCGTGTTGCCCACGCAGAACGCGCGCGCGCGCACGGCACGCGCACGCACGTACGCACGCACGCACGCCCACGTACGAAAGTGCAGGGGTAAGGATTGTGCATGCGACGCACGATAGAAATATGGCTTCTCTCTCTCTCTCTGTCTCTTGCAAACCTACCCCTCGCTCTCTCTCTCTCTCACAAGGACCTCCCATCGCCACTAATTTAAATGCTATGCTCATATCGCGCTCGCTGCGTGCGCTCACGTGTGTGTGGTGTGGTGTGTGTTGTGTGTGGGGTGTTGTGTGTTGTGTGGTGTTTGTGTTGTGTGTGTGGGGTGTGTTGTGGGTGGTGTGTGTGTGTGTGGTGTGTGTGTGTGTGGTGTGTGTGCGTGGTGTGTGTGTTGTGTGTGTAGTGTGTGTGATTTGTGTGTGTGGTGTGTGTTGTGTGTGTGGTGTGTGTGTGGTGTGTGTGTTGTGTGTATTGGGTGTGTGTTGTGTGTGGTGTTGTGTGTGTATGGTGTGTGTGTTGTGTGTGTGTTGTGTGTGGGGTGTTGTGTGTGGGGTGTTGTGTGTGTGTTGTGTGTGGTGTTGTGTGTGTGTGTTGTGTGTGGGGTGTTGTGTGTGTGTTGTGTGTGGTGTTGTGTGTGTGTGGTGTTGTGTGGTGTTGTGTGTGTGTTGTGTGTGTGTGTGTTGTGTGTGTTGTGTGTGTTGTGTGTGTTGTGTGTGTGGTTTGTGTGGTGTGTGTGGGGTGTTGTGTGTGTGTTGGGTGTGTGTTGTGTTGGGTGTGTGTGTTGTGTGTTGGGTGTGTGTGTTGTGTGTGCGGTGTGGGTGGTTTGTGTGTGTGTTGTGTGTGTGTGTTGTGTGTGGGGTGTTGTGTGTGGGTGTTGTATGTGTTGTGTGGTGTTGTGTGTGTGTGTGGTGTGTGTGTTGTGTGTGTTGTGTGTGTGTATGGTGTGTGTGGTGTGTGTTGTGTGTGTGGTTTGTGTGGTGTGTGGTGTGTGTGGTGTGGTGTGGAGAAGGAGCGGTGGCGCTGCGCTTAGCGCACTGCGCTCTCTGCGAATCCGAAGTTCGATTCCCGTTCACGGCCACCAAGGCCAGTGACGATTATCTAAACCGGTCCTGCCCCCCCCCCTTAGGTCATCTCAGCCTCAAATGAATACCTGTTGCGATGTGTAACCATTGTGTAAACATTGCACCACGAGGGAAGACAAAGACGACCGGGCGTGGTACTAGGCCACTCACCACCCCTCGTGTAGCCTTGCCGGCCTTCATAGGTGCTCCTCGCAAATAGCACTTGCCCCAAAAGTCTAGTGAGGCTATACGGGGGATCTTTGTCTTTGGTGTGTGTGTGTGGTGCTGTACGCTTGCACGTGGGTGGATGATGCCTCGTGAGGGGCTTCCTTTGTATGGAATCAACCGCGGTTGTGGTTGCCGGTGTACACAATTGTTTTTTTTTGCGTGCACATTTGAAATAAAAAAAATTGCGGGCTTTTGGATTTTTTTTTCCACTCTCTCTCTTTCATGTGGCCCCGTTAGATCGCCGCAGCGTTACACGCGGGGCTTTGCAACGAATGTCACTCGTGCAAAAACACTACGATGACGATGATGAAGATGATGATAACGATGGCGAATATATAATTTATTCCTGGCAACAAACGTCGACAATGTAACCATTCCAGCTGCTGGGGAATGACCATCTTGTTGTTGTTGTTAAATCCACGCGAATTTATTTGTAAACAAAAATCAGGTGACGAATTATGCTTCAAAAAAATATATAGAATATCCGTCCGTTATAAATTCCATTGCTTCTTCGGATACGGAATGTACACACTGTTAGTAGCCACGCGTTTATCTCCCCCCCCCCCCCCCCCCAAGTTCAAAGGACACCAATGGTTCGATACCAGACCCTGGAAACCTTTGATCGTGTTCTTGACGTCAACACGGACAACCCCGCTTGTGACCGCTTTAAAGTCCCACGACCCCCCCCCAACCCCTCCCCTCAACCCCTTCACCCCCCCGACCCCTCCCCTCAACCCCTTCACCCCCCCCCAACCCCCACCCCCACCCCCGAGACAGCCCACAGAAATCCGAAGTACCCGGCGCATCATCCGGGGTCAACGGAAGCTGCACGCCGCTTAAACGCTCCGAGCAAACGAGCCAATTGTAGATTTGAAGCTTTCGTGACTGCAAGGATTCATACTCTTGGTTTTTTTTCCGGTAAAGTCACGTAGGTAGAAAAAAAATGAAATAAAAATTAATAATGTTATTCTTTTATTTTTATTAATTTGAATTTCATTTTTTTTACCTACGTGACTTTACCGAAAAAAATAAAACGAGCCAAGCTCGTGCAAAGGGTGCTCTGGTTGAACGGAGCGAACGCGTGGATTGTCGGATGCACAGGGGGAGGTGTGTGGGGGTGTGGGGGTGGGGGGGGTGTGGGGGTGGGGGGGGTGTGGGGTGGGGGGGGTGTGGGGGGGGGTGGGAGGGGGTGTGGGGGTGGGGGGGTGTGGGGGTGGGGGTGGGGGGTGGGGGGGTGGGAGGTGTGTGGGGGTGTCGGGGGGTGTGGGGGTGGGAGGGTGTGGGGGTGGGGGGTGGGAGGTGGGGGGGGTTTGGGGGTGTGGGGGTGGGAGGGGGTGGGGGTGGGGGGTGGGGGGGGTGGGGGTGGGGGATGTGGGGGTGGGGGGGCTTACGATCCCGATTTCAGACGCGCCGATACTGTTGCCAGGCTGTATAAGTAATATTTAAAAAACTACTTTTTTTAAAAACACGCTTTAAAGAAATGTACTAGTAATGGAAGAACTCCACGACTCCAGGAAGTGGCCCCAAAGCTTGCCAAGGACCGTGGGCAATTACAGCCAACGTCAGTTGAGCGTGGACAATTAGACCCAAGCCGAAACATAACATCTAAAAAAAAAATTGCGATAGAATATAGTATTGTCATCAGTATGACATAAGTATACCAAGTTTGCAGTCGATACCACATTGGGAAGTGGGTTAAAATTGAGTTACAAGATTTGAAGGATACAACAACAGATAGAGTGAGTTAAATAAAAGCATGTAAAAAATAAAAAAATAAAATATAACAAATAAAAAATAAACGCTCTTTCGTTCCGATATTAAGAAGCCACCACGAGCTGCGATGCACTTTAAAATAAAATAAAAATAAAAATCTCGATTTCAAACGCTGCAAGGTCGCACTCGTTACTCACGCACAAAGTGCTTCTTGCCACAAATGAGCCGCAAAACATTGCCGGTGTCGTCAAGGAACGTAAACCATCGTCACGCCAACTCCGCACATCTTTGCAGCAGCAGCAGCGGCGGCGTTTGGCTGCTCAGCCATCGAACAAAGACGGTGGTGGTCACCGCATCGCGCGGCGATTTCGATGCGCTTCTGCGGCCGTCTGGAACGCTCTCTTCTTCCGCTGTTAAGAAGCCATTGGGAGCTGTGCAGCTTTGAATCATCATCAAGATTGTCAAACTCGTTTCTTCAGCACTGCGACGTGTTTTGGTTTTGTTGCCCTTCCCCGCGCGCACCTCCAATTAGCGCGGGTTGTTACATATTGTGCGAGAGGAGTTCAACATACAGTGAGGGAAAAAAAGTATTTGATCCCCTGCTGATTTTGTACGTTTGCCCACTGACGAAGAAATGATCAGTCTATAATTGTAACGGTAGGTTTATTTGAACAGTGAGAGACAGAATAACAACAACAAATCCAGAAAAACGCATGTCAAAAATGTTATAAATTGAATTGCATTTTAATGAGGGAAATAAGTATTTGACCCCTTCTCAAGCAGAAAGATTTCTGGCTCCCAGGTGTCTTTTATACAGGTAACGAGCTGAGATTAGGAGCACACTCTTAAAGAAAGTGCTCCTAATCTCAGCTTGTTACCTGTATAAAAAACACCTGTTCACAGAAGCAATCAATCAATCATATTCCAAACTCTCCACCATGACCAAGACCAAAGAGCTCTCCAAGGATGTCAGGGACAAGATTGTAGACCTACACAAGGCTGGAATGGGCTAGAAGACCATCGCCAAGCAGCTTGGTGAGAAGGTGACAACAGTTGGTGCGATTATTCGCAAATAGAAGAAACACAAAAGAACTGTCAATCTCCCTCGGCCTGGGGCTCCATGCAAGATCTCACCTCGTGGAGTTGCAATGATCATGAGAATGGTGAGGAATCAGCCCAGAACTACACGGGAGGATCTTGTCAATGATCTCAAGGCAGCTGGAACCATAGTTACCAAGAAAACTGTTGGTAACACACTACGCTGTGAAGGACTGAAATCCTGCAGCGCCCGCAAGGTCTCCCTGCTCAAAAAAGTACATATGCATGCCCGTCTGAAGCTTGCCAATGAACATCTGAATGATTCAGAGGACAACTGGGTGAAAGTGTTGTGGTCAGATGAGACCAAAATGGAACTCTTTGGCATCAACTCAACTCGCCGTGTTTGGAGGAGGAGGAATGCTGCCTATGACCCCAAGAACACCATTCCCACCGTCAAACATGGAGGTGGAAACATTATGCTTTGGGGGTGTTTTCTGCTAAGGGGACAGGACAACTTCACCGCATCAAAGGGACGATGGATGGGGCCATGTACCGTCAAATCTTGGGTGAGAACCTCCTTTCCTCAGCCAGGGCATTGAAAATGGGTCGTGGGTGGGTATTCCAGCATGACAGTGACCCAAAACACACGGCCAAGGCAACAAAGGAGTGGCTCAAGAAGAAGCACATTAAGGTCCTGGAGTGGCCTAGCCAGTCTCCAGACCTTAATCCCATAGAAAATATGTGGAGGGAGCTGAAGGTTCGAGTTGCCAAACGTCAGCCTCGAAACCTTAATGACTTGGAGAAGATCTGAAAAGAGGAGTGGGACAAAATCCCTCCTGAGATGTGTGCAAACCTGGTGGCCAACTACAAGAAACGTCTGACCTCTGTGATTACCAACAAGGGTTTTGCAGAGGGGTCAATTACTTATTTCCCTCATTAAACTGTAAATCAATTTATAACATTTTTGACATGCGTTTTTCTGTATTTTTGTTGTTGTTATTGTCTCTCACTGTTCATATAAACCTACCATTAAAAT